AACTGACAATTGGCCATGAAGTATGTAGATTTATTTCTTAACCTCAACAATTTAATTTACTGTATTCATTTAGAAATGGGCTACTGTAAATTCAATTCAATAGAAACTTAGAGCCCAAAACAAGCATCTTTAGTTTTGTTTTACCCAGCAGATGAATCTTTTATTATAACATCAGTATTATATTGACTTACAGTAGTGTTTTTAAACTCAGTGATTTTCACCAGAACAAAAAGCTCTGATGGCAACAGATTTGTTCTTAGCTTATGTGATGCCTCAATCAAAGAAACATGAATGAAAAAAAAATGAACAAAAACAAGATGGAAATATATACTTTAAATCTTTATGATTCAAGTTTTAAAACCAGAAAACACAGAAAGCAGGTGTTAGTATTCTTCCGATACAGTATATACTTTGGACGTGCCATCATGTCTTGACCATACACAGTAAATCATAAAATAAATGTTTTCTACTGATTTAATGATTTGGACAAAATCTGCAGAATCACACATGTAAATGTTCTACCCTGAAATAGTGTAAATGTTAAAATATTTTATTTTAGATATATATAAAATGAACAATTCACATCCTGCATATGTAGCAAACATTGCACTTGGCTTTAATCATAGGAATAAGCAAGCAAACCCAGCAAGTATTACAGATACAATTATATAGTTTGTTGTGCTGTCAATGATGTTTTTTCTCCCCAATTTTCTGTGTCCTTCTGTTTTGTACATTGTAAAATGTTACTTACCTTTGCTGTGTCCAAAAGATGAAGGAGCAGGTTTAAATGACTTTGGAGGTTGATCGTTGTATAGAAGATACCCAAAGTCCACAGTCTTTTAGGAAGGAATATAAAAAAATATCAATATAAAGTTTGTGTTTGTATTTGTATTGCACAAAAGGCTTTTGAATTATAAGAGAAACCTGTGAATTTAACAGAATGAGAAGTCAATGTATATCCTGACATTATAAATACATTTATAAATAAAGGTTTCTTACCTTTTTATGAATGTAGGACAAAAAAGGCTGCAAAGTCTGCCCCACTGCACTCTTGGAGTCATTCACCAATTTCTTCCCATATACCCAGCCATTGGTATGGTCATCCATGTAGAGGTATCGCAGACCTCTTCCTTCATCGTGGTCTGGCAGCTTATACAGAATAAACCTGT